TTTCAATGACAGAAGAATTTCAAGAATCAGAAGATATTTTTCAAAAAAGTGTCGAATATAAAGACTGTGAAGAGTACAACAATGTTCCAATTGATTTGATTTCTCGAGATTTCCCATGAATAATGAAGGGCAAAAGGAAGAACTTGAAAAACAAGAACCTGGTGGGGTGGGGAAGAAGAAGATCCATTTTATTTTATTTTATTTTATTTTTGATTTAAATTTTTTAATTGTTTAATATAATATATAGAAAGTTCCCTTTTAAAATTGATTAGAAAGTGGTCGAAGTTTATTTTGATGGTCAACCGAGGGAATTTTTGACGAAAACCATCAAAAATGGTCTCAGATGCAATGTTTGAAAAGATTTGGAGTGATGACTGCAATAAATGAAAGATTAGAAAAAAATCTGCTAGTATCTAAAAGGTTGGGGGTTGCTGCTGCAATTATTCCTTAATATCAATCACGACGCTGCAACTTTTCAATTAAATTTCATCAACTTTAATTAAAATATATTTTGAGCCGTATTTTTCATCAAAATATACTCTTCAACAGTGATTTGACTTCATTTCAACAACATATTTTTCAATAAAATAATATTACACGCAAATTCATAATTTTTCTTTATTTTTTAATCACAAATTTTTTTTTAATACACTATTAAAAATATATTTTTTTGACAAAAATGAAAATCAAACAAAGTTTAATTCACACCGTGTATTGGTGAAATTGGATAGTGGGTACAAACATGACACAGGCCCACAGGCTAACGTCAGGTTCGGTGACCCCACATGATTACACCTTCAAAAAGTTGATCCAATCATTAACAGTTCTTTAAATATCACTACCCCTTTAAAATAGGATAAAAGTCGACCTCACCGTGCCTACTAAACATAAAGTCCCGTTTGATTATCTTCAAACAATTATTATTATTTTTTATTTTTTACACTCATTTTCAAATAAAATATTTTATACATAAATTAAATTTTTTTAACCACACATTTTTCAAAAGATTACTATTCAAACTATCATTTCTCTTTGTAATAGTAATCAAACATGAGCAAATTGTGAAAATATGTAATTATGACCCGTAAATTGTATTTTTGTGATAGTGACATTGTGCAATTTGTGACTATTATTTGATCAAGACAAAAGAATCTGTGTTATCGTTAACCAATTAATTAAATTATAGATCAAAAACTGTTACTAAGGGTGACAATGTGACAACCTGATCTTTGGAAAAATTTCTCAATTTTGCTATTTTTGAAAACGTATTTTGATACATTTGTAGTTAAGTAATTTTTCCATCAAAATTTTAGTTACCAATAAGCCCAATATTTTATATAAATCTAAAGACAAAAATCGAAAGAAGGCATATAATATCGTATAACGATTTAGGGGCTATTCTTTTTGGCGTTTTCTGGTCGTTTTCTGTTTTCGATATTTCAAAATGGTGAAAACGCGTTCTCTTTCTCATTTTTGAAAACGCGTTTTTGAAAACAAAAAAATAAAATAAAATTGTGAGTCGTTTTCTTCACAAAAAATGACAAATCTCAAAACACGGGAAATGGTTCAACCTCTCCTCAAATCACCACCTTCCGGAGTCACAAAACACGACCTTCCGGCTGCCAAAACCACTGGATCCAACCACCATTAGCCTCGCCTCGTTACCCTCTACAATTTCCAACCAACCACCAACCGCAAATCAACAGGAAGCAGCAGAAAATTCAGCTCAAAAAACAAATGTCGCAACCCCTTTTCTGACGGAATCTCCACCTCTGGCGACATACAAGGTCGCGCACCACCACCGGTTGATTGCCCACCACAAATCGATCCCAACCATGGCCCCAATTTACAACAAACAACAATTCAACAATCTGCATTAAACCCAGAAACAAACCCGTAGCGAAGCCTTTCCAACAAAATCCGAAAGTTGCTAATTTCGACGCTGTCCGATCGACCCATGGTCACGAACCACGTGTTGAACTACTCTTCACCTGGCGCACCTTGTCCAGCCATGGGTCAACCCCAATTTCACCCAAAACTTGACGAATTTTGCCAGCCATGGGTCAATTATTTTGTCCAATTTCGCCCATAACCTTATCGAACCATGGGTCAAAATTTTGTCCAAGTGTGGCTCCACCATTAGGGGGCGGTGAGGGGGTTTGAGCGATGTTGGGATTTGGTGGTCTATGTGGTAGGGGTGGTCGGTTTGTGAGGTAGAAGAAGAAAGTGTTGGACGGAGCAAAAATCTCATTGGCTGGAGAAGACAACGTATTTTCAATTTTCATGTTTTAAGAAATATTTTTTCAAAATGATAAAAAGAACATGTTTTCAAATATTTCAAAATAGACACTCACAAAAAAAAAAACCCAAAATAAAATTCAAAACTCAAAACTTAACACTTAAACACGAAAAGAACAACCACTTAACCTTTGTTTGACACCCTTTAAAATTTTAATACATTTTTTTCTTTCTTCTTTTCAACCACACATTTTTCAATAATATAATATTACACAATCAATCAAATTTTTATTTTTTTTAACTACACATTCTCCCAAAAATTGCTATTCCATAATACATGTCCATCTGTCTCACTTCACTCTACTTTAAAAGTTTCGAAACGTGTAAGATGATGGGCACAGATCATGCTTTGACTCGTGAGTTGCTCCTCATTTAGAGTTGGTTGTATTTTCAAAAATCATTAAGAAAAATCTGAAAATAAGTAATCTCACCCAAACTATGTGATGTAGGTGTGGAAGCGTAAATAAATTGGCGAACGTGCTATCAAAGTTTTATTGATTTCAAAGAAATATTACAACACGATCCTTCTAATTTCTATTGATTTCTAATGATTCTAGGAATCTAAGTATTTCACTCTTTGATTCGATCACCCCAAAAAAAAAAAAAAAAAGGAATTTGGGCTTATTGATTTTAAAAGACAAATACCGAGAATTTATTAAAATAATAATAATAATAATTGGAAAAAAAGTCGATAATTAATATTTCGTTTGAATTCTAAAAGATGACTTCCTGCTATTAAGGCTACAATTATTATTTATAACAACTAAAAAATCCAGTCAACGATTAATCTTAATAAATGACTAACTATAAGTAATGATTAATCCTAATTAACAATTAACATCTAAATAATAACAAAAATTTAAAGTTCTAATCAAAATTGAATTTCAAATCCATTCAATAAAGAAAATACCAAAAAAATAATAAAATTAATTCTTTTCACTATGCATCTGTTTGGCAAATTTAAAGTGGTTTATAAAGAAAAATAATAATGAATCCCATTGCATATGCAAATAAAAATCATTAATATTTATGAATACATGATTGAAATGAGACTATATCGAGTCAAATATGTAAATCAGACAACCTCAAAATCGAATTATATCGACTCAAAACTGTTATATTACACCTTTATTTCAGCCCCATTTTCTGTAAATCAGACAATCTTAAAATCGAACTATATCGACTCAAGACTGTGATTACATCTTTATTTGAGCCCCATCTTCCTTCCTCTTTTTTTTTTTTTCAAAGTGTCCGCCTTCGACGACTATTCCTTGGGTCTGTAATTCGGTCCCTCTTCACACATACCAGTTAAATCGCGGAATGTACCTCCAACTGACCAGAGTCTGAGCACCTCTCCAACTAGACTGCCAAAGTGCCTAGTGAGCCAACTCATGTTGCGCTTTGCCTTCCAGGATAAATCCTGCTTTCCAGTATGTGTCTTGCCTTCCAAGAGCCCCAAGAATCGAATTCACGACCTCTGATCTACCAGTTTTGAGAGAACCCGTCCTTTGCCAATGAAAAAGTGCCCCAAGGGCATCCTTCCTCTTGTTTCTTGGTGGGAGAGCTACTGTATGTTCCTAGCTTATCTCTTTCTTCTCATTATAAATCAAACAACCTTATCTCCGTGTCTCACGCGGATTTCATTTCTTACCAAGTCTTCCAAATACTATTTCTTTAACAGTAGTGTCTTTGTTATAGCGATAAAAAAAATCCTCATATCATTTTGGATTAAATCATTATCCTGTATCCTCTCAATTATTTAGCCTCCTTATTTAATTCCAATAAAAATGGAAGGAATTAAAATTCAATTTCAAGTCAACGTTTAAATTTTTGTCACATATTTAATTGGATACACAACTTTTTAAACATATATTTCATCTAAATTTACTAATAATTTAATTTTTATCTAAACAATATGGACTTAATAAATGTTGCCCGTTACAGTAATTCAGCATTATTATTTACATCTTTTAACAACCATAATTTTGAATCAAATTAATTCCTAAAAATAGTACGAATTTAGAGGAAATAATTAGATTTTATTACCGAGTTCACTCTATTAACTAATTTCCTCTCGCGGACGGTATATAGAGTATTAAATAGGCTGATTCAAGTTACTCGACTTGTTCACCGTTGAGCTTGGCTAAACCTATCACACGAGCCGACTTGAAATGCAACAGTTAGAGTGTGTTTGATTGATATGGAAAATATCACCTAAAAAAGAAAATATTTTCCATCTTTTGTGGAAAATAAAAACCACCTCTATCCAAGAAAAATATTTTCCTTAAAAACAAGGAAAATTAGGCATATTTTCAAAAGTTGGAAAATATTTTCCATGGAAAAAAAATAGAAATCAAACACTCTAAGTAGAAATTTGGACAGAAAACTGATATTTTCCATGAAAAATAAATGTAATCAAACACACCCTTACTGAATGTTGCAAAAATGCAACGGTGTAGGGCCCGAGCCAATATTGTGAGCCGACGAGGTCGTCTGGGAGCTGATTTTGCTTGGCTTGTGAGCCAATTCGTATGAATCAATGGGCGACTCACGAAATTTTTTCTGGCTATTTGGTGAACGCCACAATCCATTTCGAGCACTAACCGAGTCAGCTCGACTCATTTGTGGGGGTGAATTTAGCTAACGAATTGCTCACACCCCTACGGAACGCGCCTACATGTTTCCCTTATCCATGTTTTTGGCTTTTTCATGTAGTACAGGCCCCCTCCACTTTATCAGCAAAATTATATATACAGTCAGAGAGAGAGAGAGAACAAAAAGAGGAGACCTTTGATGGTACCGCCCTCGTCCTCCACTGTATCAGCCAAATATTTATATATACATTATACATACAGGGGGCTATATATGTGTGTGTGTATATAGGCTGAGAGAGAAAGAGAGGGAAGATTAAAGAGAAGAGTGGGTTTTGATTGATTATATTTTCAGATGGTGCAATTTGCAGCTGCCAATACTATGGATCTTGGGAATTTTAGTAGTCTTAGCTGTGTCAGCTTCCACTATAATTCTTATACTAATTTTAGTTGCAGATACTTCTTCTATTTATCATCAGCAATATTGTCTCTGTCTTCCTTGTCTTTTGGAAGTTCTAATTTAATGCCATTAATGGTTTTTATTAACCTCTTTATTATATCTCTCTCTAATTTAATTCCCAAGCCTTTCTCTGAACGAGGGAAGGCTTGATTTTTCAATTTTCTGGATCATAATTTTTTTTCTTTTTTTTTTTCCTGCTTTTCTTGCTGAATTCTCTGCTTTTAGGGGGGGTGTAGTAGCACAATCTGTTCCCTCTTGAGCCTAATTTCTGCTACCGTTTTGATATTTTCTTGAAAATTTTGTACTTGTAAACTCAATTTTCAAGAATACTCACTCTTAAAACACCCGTTTTGTTCTTTTCTCGAGAGCTTGGAAGATTTATTTTCTTTCTCATTCACGAAAATGTTGTGTCTTTCACTTCATGGGCTGAATTATCAGCAGAGGTTGATGGTTTCTGGTGGGGTGAATGCATCTTCAACAACTATGCCTAAAGCTATGGCTTCTTTGAGATCTTGTGGCAGGTATTTGATCTTCTTTAATTCAAAAATTGAATGGGTTTTGTCAGGTTTATTTTAAAATAGTATGCAACTGATTTATTATGAATATGAAGTTTGATGCACTATTTTTTTAATGTACTTGTTTATGTAAAGTTATAGTAAGTGGATTGGAGAAGCATTTGTCATATTACTACTAGTACTTGGCAATTCCCTACATCCCTTTATTCTTTACGATCATCAGGTATAAATTTGATGGTTTTGGTGGAATTTGGAGTGGTTTTGACAAAGGAAAGAGGAACATATTGATTGCCACAAAAACTGGGAATGCTGCACTCAAGAAGAGGAGATTAAGCAATTTACCTCTGTGTTCTTCTCCTCTGGCAGAATCACGAAATTCGTCCAGAGCTGACTTCTATAAGGAGGTTGGAGTTATATCTTATGAAGTACTGTACTCCTTTTGGCTTGATCTAGTTCTTCTGTTGATTTTGTAATATGTTTTAGCCATGCAGATTATCGATATGGGTTGTTACTTTATTTACTTAATCTAGCCACTTAGTAACACAGTTGATTTGAGAAATTACTGCTAAGCCACTTAGTAACACAGTTGATTTGAGAATTTACTGCTAAGTTGGGAAATCTGTGAAATTCTTTTAATCCGTCTTGTATACTATGACTGTCTATCAGGTTCTGGAAGCTGCTAGGGAAAGATTTACTCAGGAAATTTCTTTCCGGTCCAAGGACAAAGATATCTCACTTGCGAAGGTAATATTTATTCTCGGCTCTCTCTTCCTGTTTGAGCTAGTTAATGCACAATCCAAAGAAAATGTTTTTTCCCACGATCTGCTTTCCTTTTCAATCACCTTTAGAAAAGGTGTACACAAAGATCTTGGATTTCAATTTTGGATTAAATATTCTCTATTTCTGAATATCTGCTAACATTTGGTGACCAATTATGGTGATCAGTCTTTTCTTTTCTCGATTTTCCGCTACCACTTAGTGAACAGTTGTAAAATGAGTGGCAACAAAATATGTAACACTTGCTGAAATCTGTTTATTGAGTTTCTTCATTCTTATTTTAAATCTGTTTATTGAGTTTCTTCATTCTTATTTTAAAAATGCGAGTTTGTTGGTGTCTCTTTTTTTATGTGTTTTGGAGTCTTTTTCTATAGGCTTTACTTTTCGTTGCTGCTGAAGATGATGCTTTTTTGGCTTTAAATCGGGAGATGGACGCGCATTCACTCCGTAATGAAAGGAGAGATTTGTCATCACCATCTGATGCTGAAGAGTGGGATTATGTGGAGGCTATGCCTCTAGCTGGAAAGAATATAAGTGAGTGGCTGTCCGAGTTGGATGCCATTGCCAAGGAAGTCGAAGCTGAGCTGGTTTCAAGAGATATAGGATGTGATTTGCTAGAAGTTTTGGAGGCAGTGAACAAAGTTCTTTTTGAGTCGAGAGGTTTCAAAAGGTCATCCATATTGACAGATTCAAAGTGTTCGTACCTGCACTTTGTATTAAGCTCTCGATGTGCCAGCGGTATATCTTCATCAAGCTATTCTCTTATCATTTTACATAATATTTTGGTTAGAGTTTATTAACACGAGACCACCGCTGACTTTATGCTTTACCATATTGACAGCAATTTTGCTTAGCGTTATTTATATTGAGGTTTGTCGAAGACTTAATCTGACCATTGTGGGATCGCGAGTTGGGGAAGATTTTTTGATATGGCCTCCAACCGGGAACCCTGAGGTATATTGATTTTTCAAGCTCGTGATTTATGCCAGTCGTGGTCATTTGCATTGTAACTTGTATTGCTTATAATCTTATGGTTTATCTGGTAATGATTGTATGGTACTAGACTGCACTGAGAAAGTAAAATAAACGAAAATCGTTTTCCTTATATTATCTTAGTACTGTGTACCAAACATGCATTTATAGTTTCAATTTGTCTAGGTTCATGTATATACAGGCTTATTCTCATATGGGTACCTTTTTGCCGCAATGCAGGAGCTATTTAAAGTGACTTCTGGACACAGCTTGTTTGGTCTTGTCAATGGGAAGTGTGTGGACGATCCCCGATCCAAGGCCTCGGACATAAACAGTAATTCACTCTTAGGGCTTGACATTGCAACAAATCGAGACATTATCGGGATTGCTTTGGCCAATTTGATTGTAAGCTCTATCCTGCCAGTAATTTGATGGTGTATACCCCTTTTTTTTAAGGCATTTTTCACAAATTTGAGTTTTGCCCCCGAAAATTTTATGCTTCCGACCATGGAAAATGAAAGGATTAATATATATTTCAGAGGCTTTACTGGAAACGGGCTTCAAGAAAAAATTTCGGATTGATGCTGACTTCTCCCCTTAGGTCTGTTCATAAAGTGGACGAGAAATTTAACAAGAATGATGGTCCAAATGTCCCTTTGTTACGGCCTCAAGAGCTGAGGTAACTGTCTTGTATTCTCTTATGATTCAGCAACTACTTCTGCCTGTTTTCCCTATTGCAATGGTGTCTAATTGTCCCGTCTGTTTCATTTGAGATGCTTATATTGCAAGATTGTCATGTAGAATCAGGGAATTAAGAAATTTGACTCATCTGGAGGTTTCAGTTCTGGTGCATGCCACGGAATTATAACTATTCTTGGTGAAATACTGTGTAGTTTGTGCATTATAGTTTTGAATGTTATAATCCTTTCCAGACTCGCAATCATGGCTTCCCAGAGATTGTTGATCCTGCAACCGCACAACTGGTCTTTGAGACGAGATTATGGAATGATGTTATACTATAGTAGGTAAGATCAACGAATATCTATTTTTCCCATCATTAATGTTTTTCACCATTATTAGCTGAGCTATTCTAAATCTTCAATTATTCAATGTTACAATAATCAACTTTCGTAAATTACAGAGAATACGAGAAAGCAGTCCAAGAACTCAGCATCTGCATGGCCTTTGCCCCAGAAGAAGAGGCTGAAGTTCTAGAACCATTTGTCGAGAAATTACATCTGATGCGGCTTGAATCATCGTGGAAATCTTTGGGACAAAAAGGTCGGCTAGCAGTTCCTTGACTTGTGTGCTATCTGTAGAAAACCATACTTATCGACTTGCTTATATTATAGTCTGTATATAACACCTATTATACTGGATCTTAACCTATAAACTTGCTTCTGTAAATATTTTCATTGAACCATGTTTCATTTACATGGCTCAAGAATGAGATCAATACATATAGAAAACTAAAGCAGTAACAAAATATGAATTTGCCCTTCATCCTTAAGGCAAGATGTTCTTGGGAAGAGGGTGAAGCTCCTCTGAACGAAATCCAATTGGATCCCGACAGACCATATCTTCATCTATACGATCCCTAGAACTGGGATTGACATAACGTCTAACTATATTTACGAGTTCTACAAAGACGCACAGATCATTCACGTTTTTGTGGATTTCTATGGATACTTTGGACCTATTTGGGATAGCTTCTGCCTTCTTCTTCTTGTAGAGTGTGTTAGCTTTCTTTAAAATCTTTTCTAAAGAATTATTGAAACGGGCTCAAAAGTAATTTCTTAGTTTCAAAATGTCTTTTTGTCTTTTCAAAATCCATGGAAACTGACCCTTAGTTTCCTCTTTGATGTCTGTTTACTTACAAAGACTGTCATTTCCTCCAGATTGGTGTGTAAAATTTATTATATATTCAGAAGTATAGCTCCACAGATGTAAGAAACCATAGTGAAGTGATGAAAAATGTAGAAAGGGATTAAAAAGGGGAGAATTCAAGGTATTTCAAAGTTTGAGGATACTTCTTAAGCCTTTGTTTTGAGCTCCATTCTTGTCAAAAAAAAAAAAATGTATTTTTGAATAGCGTATTTATGGAAAATGTTTTGTTAAAAAATAAAGAAAGGTCATGAATTTGCATATAATATTATTTATTGAAAAATGAGTGGTTTAAATGAAGTTAAATCACAGTTGAAAAATGTATCTTGACGAAAAATTGGGGCTCAAACAAGGGCTAAATATTAGGTGGTTCATATCCAATTGCACGCAATGAAAGAGGTGTAGTCCATTTGATGAACGAAACTCAGCTCATGTTTCAGATCCATTTTAATATGATTTTGGGAGAAAATGTAATTTGGAATAGCGATTTTTTTGGAGAATGTGTGGTTAAAATATAAAGAAAAGTTTTGAATTTACGTGCAATATTATTTTGTGGAAGAATTTGCGGTTGGAAATGAGTGTTGAAAAAATGTATTTTGGAAATGATAGATTTTTTATTTTTTAATTTTTTCAAAACAATTTTTTTATATATATTCACACAATAAAATATTTAGAATGTGTGACTGAAAAAATGGAATTTTTTTTCTTTAAATAATGATCATAAAACAAAGACTAAAAGTAACGAAAATGATTCTTAGATTTATCGAGAATAAGATTAATTTATTTTTTGGGGGACAAGATCATTCATTTAGCAACTATAGTTTGGTGGTATTTGGTTGAATTAATACATATGTGAATGTAAAGTAGATAAGCTATGAAGGGGTGGCCACTACCTCCATTCGTCTCCAGTCCCACCATCTATCTCTGTGTTTGTTCATGAAAGCATTTCTTAGTCCTTGGATGAAGAAAATGCAAGAAAAAGTCACATCAAAGATTGGTTACACGGGAAATTCGTGAGCAATCTTCTTTTGTCAGCTACTTTCGTTGTGGGTGTGAGCTAATATGGACGAGTAATGTTACATATCAAAATTGAGGATTGTTTAGCTCATGTTTGTCATCAATTTTTCACCCCAAAAAATCAAATTTTTTACCGTTATTTGATTATTTCAATCGTCATTTTTGACTTCATCACTTACAAGGAGAACCCACTTTTTTCCCAAAAAATCAATTTTTATAATCACTATCGAGCATGCTCTTAATATTTGTTTATATTTCTTGTAGAAGAGCTTTACGTGAAAGTTATTTCTAGTTAGCCTTTTCTAAAAGCTTTTTTCTGACAAGACAAAATCAATTTAAAAAAATAAAATAAAATTATCCAATCAATTTTCAAAACAACTTTTTAGTTTCAGAAATAATTTTTGACTTCCAGCTCATCGTGGTTTTGATTATAAAATGAAAAGAAAACAAAAACAAAGAAAACAGTAAAAGGAATTGAAGACAAAGAACCTGAATATTTGAATGTAGTATATATAACTGATTTTTTCAATTTTTTTATAAATTATTGAAGTCAATTTTTTTATAAATTATTGAAGTTCATCTTAAGACGGTTATTATTATTATTTTTTTTTATTTTTTACTTGAAAAAATCTCTTTCAAATAGGCTTTAAAGAAATTAAGGCCCTGTTCTCTTTACCGTTTTCGGGTCGTTTTCTGTTTTCGATTTTTCAAAACGGTGAAAACGCGTTCTCTTTCCCGTTTTCGAAAACGAAAAAAAATTTGTGAAGAAAACATAAAACGACTTTTTTGTCGTTTTGGGCGTTTTCAGTGTAAAACTTGAAAAAATTGAAAACGCGGGAAACACATCTTTTTTTTTTTTTTTTTTTTTTTGGGGGGGGGGGGGGGGGATTTTCAAAATTTTAAAAAAAAAATTTTTTTTTTTTTTTTTTTTGAGGAGGTGGTGTGGTGATTCTCAAAATTTCAAAAAAAATTAAAAATTTAAAAAAAAAAAATTTTGAGGAGATAGTGTGGGGATTCTCAAAATTTCAAAAAAAAAAAAAGTTTTTTTTTTTTTGGTGTTTTGAGGTGATGTTGTGGTGATTCTCAAAATTTTTAAAAAAAAAAATTTTTGTTTTTTGTTTTGAGAAACTAACAAAAAGAACACATTTTCAACAATTTCAAAACAAACACTCAAAACACAAAACTCAAAATGAATTCAAAACTCAAAACACAAAACTGAAACACAAAGAGAACACCCCCTTAAGTTCTCTTAACATTTTTTGCTAGTCACTTGAGCATTTTTCAATAAAATCCGATCTGATTAAGTCGATGAACGTCTTGAACTATAAAAAACCCAAATGTAGTTGAAGGAAGACCAGCAAGAACTATAGCCCACGAAGCATATGCCATTAAAAAGCCATTGCAGTCAAAGCAGCCCGAAATACAGCCAAAAAAGCCCATGAGTGGCCCCGAAAAGTGCCATTGCCCGAAGGAAAATTCCAAAGTTTGTTAAGAAACTGCAAAAAAATGAAGGAAAACCAGTGTTGAAGCAACTGGTAAATGAAAAAACCAATGTACAAAAAATTGGACAGAACATCGACCTAGAATACCTAAAAGATCATGGGTTAAATGGTCGAACATATAATAAAAAGTATTAGAAAATATGAAAACCAAAAATCGAGGTGAACCGGCTAGTTTATAGGTGAAAAGCCGGCATCTTGGCATGAATCGATTGGTTCTTGCCTTGTTTTGACATTTCCCAATTTTCTGATTATTCGGTAAAATTAGATTAGTTCTTGATTTTCCTTGTTGAACCGGTTGGTTTGTTGTGATTTTGACATCATTGAAAAGAGGTTATCAAAAAAGTTGGAGATAAAATTTAGGGACAAAGTACATAGACAATCTCAACTGGATCACTCATCTTCAATTTGGTATAATCAAATCATTTGACTTTAATTTAGATGCAGATGTATGCCTCTTTCTTGGATTAGTTTTTATGTCAAAAATAAAATAAAATAAAGCAATTTGTTTCATCTAGAAATGATGAAGCTAATGAGCTTGGATTGTTCTTGTTGTATACAATCATGTACATAAAGGTGTCCAAAATGGACACCCGGTGGCCCTCTATTGGAGGGGGCGCCTATTGGAGGGGGCGTCGGTGGGCCAGGCGCACCCTCCAATAGGAGGTCGCCGTGTGTCCATTTTGGACACCCTTATGTACACAGCTGTGTACATGTAGCAACCTTTAATGAGCTTTATAGTTAAAATAGAGCTGTCAAGATGGACAGAGGCACCCACACCCAAAGTCACCTAGCTCGTATAAGGCCTGTAACATGCCCAAATTGGCCCATTGGTTGATCTATAATTTGTTTGAATTGAAATTGAGATAATGATACAAGTTCATCTTCTTTAAAATAAGACAGATTCATAACAGTAAAAAATTAATTAATTTCTTTCAAAATTAATCCCACGTCTGAGCCACATTTTAGGAGAAAATGCATTATTCATGTCAAATCAATGAGAAATGTATGGTTAAAAAATAAAAAAAAAATTTAGATTTGCGTGTAATATTATTTTATTGAAGAATGTGTAATTGAAATGATATCAAATCATTATTGAAAAATGTACTTTTTAGAAAATAATGTGGCTCAAACAAGCCCTATCTATTTGTGCCTATATTAAAGGTGTTTCTACAATTTTTTTTTTATCAAATACTAGTCTGCATCTCGTGCGTTGCACGAATTTTGTATTTATTTTGATTTTATTAGCGTAGAATTTATAAATTGTACAAAAAGTATTTGAAAATAAGAAATGTTTGTTTGATTCTCATTTTTTGGTCAACTGTATATTTTATGTCACGATAATTTATTTTTATTCTTATAAATAAGTATAATGAATGTTGTGATTGTATATATATCAACGATAATTTATTTTTAATTATTTTTTGTATTTTTTGTTTAATGTAGATGAAGATTTTTTTTTATTTGATATTGCAAATAAGTTGTAAATTGAATTTCACAAAATGCTTTTCTTTAACAACTTCGATTCGAGAGGCTATACTTGTAGTTCAAAAATAACCCATACAGTTGTAAATTGAAAGAGAATATCCATATACACAAATATTAAAATGACTTGAAGTGGCACTTACTGGATGATCAACTCCTTTATTGGTGTAAGAATTAGAACCCTAACAGCAGACCTATTTTTCGGACGATACAACAGTCACTCCAAGGTTGGTAGGGCAAAAAAATTTTTAAAAAAATTTAAATAAATTTTATTTGAAAAAGAAAAGAATTTAAAAGAAATTTAAATAAATTGATAAAAAAATCAATTATTTATAAAGTAATTTTTTCAATTTTAATTAAATAATATTTATATATCCTTCATTAAATTTTCATAACTTTATTTTAATTTTTACTTCTAAATAATTTTAAACGAATTTTTTTACTTATATAAGTAATTTTTAC